GATAATACACTCAGTTTATAATAAAGCAGACTGGGGAAAATCAGCCAATTTATCTAATATGGTAAAGTTAAGCGATGTTTTGTTTCAAAACAGAAAAGTGATTCTCTAATACGAGGCAGATTCCCGTGTCTGACAGGATGAATGCATTCGGTTCCAGCTTTCATCGGAGGGTCAAGTTCAGGCAAATCAGTGCAGCTATGTGTAATCCGGGCTGTTCACCCAACGGCCGCTGAGCTCAGGGCGACTCACTCACAGGTAAAATCAACCACCGCTTCCAGGACGGGCGGCAAGAGCTCTAACAGGCAAAACTTTACAAGATTGTAAGTGAGCAGATCGCAGTAATCTCACACACCAAAAGTCCTCTTCTAAAACACGCTCTTACAGCAAGATCCGCCTACAACCCTGATTACAGCGCTCTGAAAATGAGGGAGAAGGGAGAAATTATTACTTGGATGCTTGACATCCGTCAACCAAGTCAGTGCTCTAGATCTCAAAGTCCTTCCCCAAAGTGCACGAATGAATTCTTCCACCTTCGCAGTTCCTTCGCTCATTCCTTGTCTCCCCCACTCCGCCCAATCGTAGCCCTCCTCAACGCCCCACATCGAGTATGCTTTTGGATGCGGTGGTCTGAGACTGCCCGAGCAGGACAGCAGGCCTGCAGCCGCGGGGAAACGTACGGTGAGTGTTCGGTAAAATGGGGCACGGGCTCTGGCATCACAGCCTGTTTCTTTTTATTGTGTTATTGCTCGTTTTGTTTTGGCTTTCAGACGATCTTGCCTATAAGTACAACACTTGCCTTCTAGATTTAAAGCGCTTTTAAACTACTTTAGGCAAATAGACTGCATTTTCGTATATATCCTTTAAGACCATTTATCTGAGCAAAGGGATTTGTAGCTCTATGTGACTTCACGCTATGTCCTAAATAGAAATCTACTTGACAAAATAGATTTGTAAATTAGGGCTGCGTTATATATAGTACACTTAGTTTACAAAGTTTAAATTATAAAAGAACAGATATTTATTGCTTTAAAAAGCAAGTGTGGTGCTTCCACTCCACAAAAAGGTAGTGTAAAGTAATTTACCTGCTGCCACGTGGAGGGAATATGTCCATACAAACCTTGGCGATAGCGCAGCACACAGAGGACAAATCTGAAAGGCGTAATGGGAAAGGCAGAATGACAGGAGCCCGGGGACCCTGGAGAACAATGTGATAGCCGGCTGGCTTATGGGCCTTTGCTCAAAAGAAAAAGTAAAAGACTCCAGCCTGGGGGAACCACAGTCATTCCACCCACTGGAGTTTCTTCCTTCTCCAGTGAGCACCCCGCGCAGATCAACAGATGCCTCATAGTGACAAAGATAGCAAAACTGTCTGACCAGCTTTAGAGAAACCATCACAAAAATGCCTTAGCAAGCAATAATAAATGAGCATGAGCTAAATGAAAAATTCAATGTGTCAGCAAAGAAATATAAGATGTAAAAAGAAAAAGGGAGAAACCTTAGAACTATAAAAGAAAATAACAGAAAGAAATGAACAGTTGTGAAATTTGCAGCACACTAGTCATCAGTAAAAGCTGAGGATAAAGGCAAAAGAGTTAGCAGGATTAATTTTGGAGATTAACTCTAAAATGCACAGAACCCTTTAGTGCCAAATTTTGACAAATTCACATGTGTATAATTTTTTTGTGAAAAAATTTTAAAAATACAACTTAAAAATTTGAGTTTAATATTAATGATTTTAAAATAAAGATTTCATTTCTCTAAAACCTATCTAGACTTAAAAAACAGCTTGTAAAATGTGATTTTTATTACTTAAAATAAAGAAATGAAGGAATAACACGCTCTATTCATTGCAACCTAATTGAAGACACATTCAATTACTCGTGTTGATAATATAGAAATGCGGTACTAATGTTGGCTTCTAATTTATCTTGTAGACTATAAAATAACAAAAGTAATTCATCATATATATGTAATAGATTTAAGATTGTTAAAATTACTTGAAGATAATTGATTTTCCATTCTGAGTGAAATGATAAGAAAGCTGGATTTGGAGAGAATACTTTACTTAGAATGGAAAGTTCAGAAATTCCATAAATCACTGTTTGGTTGTCTGATTCCTTTAGGATAATGACCACAGATACAAACTACTTGTTTCATGCTGAACAAAACTTAAGGTCCAAAGGAAATCTTCTTCTCTAAAACAATGATGAATTTTAAGGATTTTTTAAAATCAGATGATTGGCAGCGTTTGCAATGAATTCATTATTGTACAAAAGGAGATTTCCTGAGCACTTTTGTTGTTCTTCAGAGGAAATCAACATTATCCTTTTCCAAATACTGTACAATGCAAAATAAGTCTGCCAATGAAACCAGAACACTATATCTACCAACCTTACTGAAATTGCTTCCTTAAATGAAGAAGGCCCCTTCATGGAGTAAGTGCCTCTGCGACCTTGCCTACTGAATTGGATGATTTGCTTGCATTTGTCTTTCCGTCCCCACTCTGTGACTTGACTGGTGTTACTTGAACTCGAACGAGGAAGACTGAATTTCTTTCATCAGACCACATATTTAAGGCAGCACCTAAATGCGGAGTTAAACACATTTCACTCTCGTCCCAGCCCCCTGCACACGCTGTTGTCACCCCCGGCTGTCTCCAGCCTGTGTCGGTGTAATGTGCCTGTGCAGAGTTCAGAAGAAGACCTCAGAGGGTGCAGCCACACAGCTGGACATCACTGTCCCCCCAATCGGAGCAGGGCTGTGTCTTCCCTCATCAGATGTTCACTCGAGAGCAGAGAGTGAAGTTCAGAAGAAAGTGTTGACAGCCCCAGCCCAGGAGCTGTGTGCACACAGCTGTGCTCCTGGTCCAAGGCAGGAGTCGGGAGTGAGAAAACACTGCGGATCAAAACCCAGTTGTTTTTGGATCTGCTGTTGCAGCTGCTTCTGCCTGTCACCAGGCAGCAGGGATTTACTGACAGCCGCTGCTGGGACTGTGACAGGAGTGCCCACTTTCACTGGCCTCAGGGCAGGCGAATCTCAAGGATCTGTGAGTGCGGGTGACAGGAAGCTCCTGTGGTCACCAGTCCGCCAAAATCTGATCCAGGGTTGGATATGAAAGTATGAAAGTAAAACTACACCATCCCATGTGTCTTAAATTCCAGTGCTGCTTGAAAGGACTGACTGAATGAAGATGGCTTAGAGACGCAATACTTTTTAAAAAACTATCGCAGCTTTCTAGGAACACACAAAATATTTTACTATAAAAGCAGCGATGGGACATTGTTCCTCCAGATTCTGGAAGTGATTCACCAACTGCCATGAGCCATAAGTGATACATGTGTTTCATCACAGTGGCATAGCTAGTATAGCACAGTGAGGACTAAACACAATGTGATTGAGAAGAAAATACAATCATAAAGCCCTGTCAAAAACCCAAGTGCAGTTGGCCTTTCATTTGAGTGGGGTCTGCGTCCCAAACAAATATGAATAGAAAACATTTGGTGAGGAATTGCATTTATAATGAAGATGCATGGACTTTTTCTCACCTTTGGTCTGTACCGGATACAGTATCAAAACCATTTCTATCACCCTAAGTACAGTAGGTAATCCAGGATAAAGTACAGAAGAAGATATACAGGTGATAAGTGAAAACGACAGCTTTTGTAGAAAGGGCTTGAGTATGTGCAGAGGATTCTGGGAGCAGGCCCCTTAGGATCCAAGGACTGACTGTAGTTTACTCTGAGGTTTACTGACTGGAGGGTTTGCATTTCATTTAGAGCAGTCAGTGCACCTTAGCGTTGTTTTATTATTGATGCTGTTGTGTTTTAGTGCAGATTAGTGTCTGACGGGGTTCAAACACAATTTCTCTCCTCTCATCCGATTCCCACATTCACGTCCTTAACCACACAAAGTAGCCCACATTCTACTTTGCTGAGAATTCTGTCCCTTGCTATTCCTGTCCCCTCTGCATCTCCAGATCACCAGGGTGTTTTCATAAGGTCACCCACATTTCTATAATTTTCTATTGCGTTTTCTGCCTTTCCATTCACCTCTTCACGAATTCAAAAGCCTCTTCATCCACTTGTGTTCTGAGGTGAGCTGTGTAAGGAGCTGGGAATCGGGAGCTGCTCCCTTAACTCTGAGCCTAAACAGGGATGGAGCGAAAACAACACATAAAAGCCCAACCTTTCCCAGTTCACTTACTGTCCCACCTCTTTCCTTGCTGTCACCTCTTTGTTCCTTAATAATATTCTTCGGAACGATACTTACCTTTTCCTAGCACCGAGTGACTGTTTACGCTTACATTCCTGCCTGCGTCACCACTCTGATAAAGTGGCAGAAAGTCTCCTGCAGCTCTTCCGTGGCTTTCTTTGTGGTTCTTCTGTATGACTCATTTCAGTGTGTACAATCACTTCTAGAGCCAACTCTTTTTAATGTCTGGGTTCGTGGCATTAGTTTAATTAGCCTCCTCCCAATTTCTGTGACTTCATTTTTCTGTCTTCTTTGCTGGCAAGTGGGACTGCTAGTTGAGAAGAATAGGCACACAGAGAGGTTGTTTTGAAAAAGAACTTTTATTTTTCCTGGTGAAGAACTAGGGCAATAACAGTTATTTGAGCACTGATCATTTGGAATGAAAGAGAAGGGCTGTAGGGAGAGGGTCCTATCTCCTACCACGAGTGTGAAGTAAGGCAGGCTCAGGCTGGCCCCGGGTAGCTCCCAGAGCGGTGGCTTCGTCTGCTGTTCCTTGAGATGCTCTATAACCCTGGATCTCCAGGATCTCCAGGAGCCTGCGCCAGCCCAGCCCCTGTCCTGCTGCAAGATCTTCCACTCTTATTTTCAGCCCGAACTCCTAGGAGGCACTGGTGACTTATTCACCTCCTCTGTCTCCTGGGACCCACAGCAAATCCGGCACCATGCAGAGGAAAAGAGAAGCGTTCCACGGGGTCCACATCATTTCTTGGAGTTAGTTCAGAAAGACAGGAGCCAGGATTGCAGGGCAAGGGGAGGAGATGTTTGGGAAATCTTACTTTTAACATTCACTAGGCAGATTCGTAACAAAGAACTGAAAATCAAGGTAAGAGACAGTGGTTAATTTTATCACCGTGGCAAGTGAAAGCAGTAAGTAAAGAGCATGTTCATATATGATAATATTATAGAGGAAAATAGTCCTAGTCTACATCATTATAAGGGTTGAACATTGTGTTTACACACGCACACATTTAAAAATGACAATACCCCACTTCTGAGAACCAAACATTAGAAATGAATAAAAAATAAATCTTCTTTTTTAAAAAGAGAAAACAGGGTTTCATTATGCAGTTCAGGCTGGCTTGAACTTACTATATAGCTGAGGTTGGCCTTGAACTCACAGCGATCTTCCTACCTCAGCCTCCTGAGAGCTGGGATTACAGGCACGCGCCACCATGCCCGGCTATTCTGTTAAACCTCAGAAAAAAAATAGCTCTATACTACGGGATAAAATAATTTTGGGAAAGTCATATAATGAAAAAATATTCAGTCCTTAAAGCTGGCTCTGAAGATAAAATAGAGAAGCTCACAGCGTATTTAACTATCCGTGCACAGGTAGCTACACAGGCGCACGCACGACCTCACGCGTGCCCACACCATTCCTGCAATGCCGCGCGCACACTCTCTGTGGCAGAAGAAGAGCGCTCAGGCAGACAGACGCTGCCCAGTCCCACCGCACCTCAGGAAAGGTTTGTCCCTTTCTCCCTCCCCGACAGCGGCCTGCGAGGGGACACCTGGAAATGGGGTGGTCTCACCAAGAGGAAGTCCCAGAAAATTGAAAAGGGCAAGAGTGGGAGCCCAGGAAAGAGGAGGGGCGGGGAGGAGGATGGAAGAGGGAGAACCAGAGGAAGTGCTCTGAACAGCTCTGCGGATAGAGTACGGGAGGTGAGCGATTGGGGGTTGGGAGTGGCTGTCCTGTGGGGGAGACACTGGGACAGCAGAGGAAGTGCCTTTTCAGTCCTGTGTATTCAAAACGTACTCAACAATTAATGTATTCTGGGAAAATTGGGGTGAACAATGGGGTCTTGGTCCAGTTTTGGTTCTTCTAGGACATTACCTTTTTGATAACTTGCTGCCGATATTAACTGACTGCGGTGCTCGCTTCATAGATCGTAGTTGATTTTCATGGGCTGATGAAATATCAATTTTGAAATAATTATTGAATTATTCCCTGTTCTTAAATTTTAAGATTAGGTGTGACTTCTTTTAATAGAGAATTGGTAAATATTTCTTTGCATGCTAATGATATACACACACACACAAATATATCACAGATAATGTACACAGGTAATTGGTTTATTTACATTCATCATATATGCATCACTTTTTTAGATTTTTTTAAAGCAGAACAATGGGTCTTTTGATCATAATAATTCCATCAGCATATATCCTAGACAACCAACAGAAAAGCAAGTACATGTTTATAGAGCTTGATTAAATCACCATTATCCTACCATTTCTTTCATTCTTTCTTTGGATTATGAGATCGCAGAAGTAGGTTCTGAATTTTTAAAGAACATATACATTTATTAACAATGTAACTTAAAAATTCCAACGAAGTCACCAATTGTGGTGTCTTGGGGATGACCCTGGAAAGCCTTTCTCATAATTGCATGTTGGCCAATTGCATCATAGCGTTCTCCTGCTCTGGTGCATTCACAACCACTGGAAAAGTATTATAATGTCCCTGATTATTCCAACCATGCTCTTGTTTACATGAAGCGTGCTGTGACACGGTCTCTGAGGTGTCACATCCTAAGTCTCTGGAAAAGTTTGCACAGAAAAATTAGGTCATTCTGTTAGTATTTGAGAAGCAAAGGAAGACTGGCTCAGGGAAGTATGCCAGCCCAGTGGCCCAATTCAAAGATGAACTGGACTGGCTTTACAGGGTTTATGCTTTCCATCAAATGTCCCAGCCTGGGCTCCATACCCTGACCTATCCGAGTGAGTTGCAGGCGTTCAGAGAAGTAGACCTTTCAGCCTTCAGCTATGCTGTCATCCCTAGTCATGAAACAGCCCTCCTCCTATACGCTAGCATCCCCAAACACAACTCCACATGTGCTGTAACTGTTTTGTAACTACATTTATCTCTAATTAGATTGTATTCCTCAAGAAATGAGCCTGGGATGATGAGGCAGGAGGATTCCAAGATCAGCCCAGCCTAAGAAGTTTAGTGATTTAGTAAAACGGGCTGGGCATATAACACAGGGTTCAAACCCCAGTACCCGAAACAAACAAACCAAAAGGGAATAGTTGTATACTACAGGCTTATGACTGACAATCAATATAAGACAGGATGGCTTTTATGTTCCAGGCATTTACATACCTGCGAGAGTGATGTCATATGTACTACTTTGTTAGAAAACAAGAAAGTCGCCCAGGGCTCTCCTGTGCTCTTGTCGATGTCTGTACTTACTGTGTGCTGCTTCTGGATAAAATGATATGGGATCATTTACCAAGCAGCTATATTCTGACTTTATTTGTTCTTTGTTTTCTTTTCCATGCACTCTTTCCTGTTGATCGGATGTGAGATCGAGACTCATCCGTGTCTCGGAACTTCTGACTTATAAAGGAGAAGCCTGAACTCAAAAAGGGCAGGGTGGTCAGTATGAGAGCATTTGTAAGCCTTTGTCACCTGCTAAGCCCTTGCGTGAATGCTGGGGACACCCAGGACAGTGAGGAACAATCACGTGTTAGACGTGGTGTTGCCCATGGCTGGAGCTCAGTGTGGTAGGCATTCTGGATATTTTACTTCTAAAGTCATGGCTCGCGGTGTTTTTACATTGGAAAGGGCTTGGAAATCGACTGACGGATGCAGATTCCTTCAGGGTTTCACTTTCAGTCTAAGACAACACACTGATATTTTGATTCTTCTACCATTTCTCAGCAGGTGACTGAAACAGAGATGGAACAAAGTGTCTGAACTCTAGAGAGCATTTCCTGGTTTCTTTTTAAATTTCTGGTTACAGCCATCATTGCTACATTATAATTTTCAGGTTCTTACTGTTAGGTCTGAATAGCCCCATGTTTGAAAATAGAGGGGAAAGATAACAGTGGCAGAGAGATAAGAACTTTCCCAGCTCACTCTATAAGGATAGTTAAGTAAGAAGGCATATTATATTAAGACATATATCACATATTACATTATCTCACACACGTACACACAAACACACACCCTCACACTCAGGAATGGTAGCCTATAGAAATCCTACGGCAACCCTTGATAGTGTTCTCTGGCACTGGGGATAAGGTAAACATTTCCCAAAGGTACTCAAGCATGAATGCATGATCCTGTTTGCCTGTTTTTGTTGCGATTATTGGCTTTATTATGGTTTGGATTATTCGCAAGTATCACTGAGGAGTCACAGAAGAAAACGGTGCTGCATTCATTTCCACTGGCGGGATGCACACCCCGCTGTTGCGGAAATGTACTGAGAGCACCCCTTGGCCTCAGGGTCTGAGCCCTCTCTCTGTCCCCACCCCCTTCGTGTGCTTCACCTCAGCTCACGGAGGGGCCCTGACATCGCCCTTCTCTGAGGGTCTCACCCCTCGGTCCATGCAGCCTGCAGCCCTCTTGGTCTTTCACGCTACCACGATTTACCTTCCTCTAAACCGAACCCGCAGCCTCTCTTTGTTACTGACTGAGCCACAGTGGCCTTTCGTTGTGCTCAGCGAAAGGCACAAAGGGCTTTAGTGGGTATAAAATAGCCCATTGCATAAGATGCAAAAGTTCACAAGCTCTCGGCCCTGGCTCCCTATGAAGAAGCTAGAAATTCTGTTGATGTTTGAATTTCCGCTCCTGCTGTCATAGCAACGCAGCAGCACCCAGGTAGCTTCGCGGGGTGCTTGTGGTAAGCAAGGCCCTGGGTTCCATTTACACCCTCACGATGCCGTGTGACAGAGAGGAGGGTGAGCAGTGAGAGCTCTCCCTGGCTTACAGGCGGTTGCTTCTTCGTGTGCCCTCTATGCCTGGTTTCTCAAGAGCACCGACCCCACCATCAGGGCTGCACCTCATGGCCTCCCAGAAACCCCCCTCCAGAGATCTCTCTTCATCTTGTCCTGGTGAGGACGGGGCCCTACATCACCCGGGGAAGAGTTAACATGACACAGTCCAGGGCATAGCCCTTCAACAACCACCAACTTCTCTTCTCTTCCATTCAACCTCTGATCCAAAATATGGTGGATGTTTAAATTGAAAAAAATATATATATATTACAGTAAAAGACACATGAATCACTCTCGACCTTCTCCCCCACACTTTGAATACATTCATCTCATCAGCGCCACCGCTTTCTGAAGCTGTCCGAAGTCCTTTTTCGTGCCTGTCTTCAGTTTTGCCATGGCTGTCTCGATGTCCTCAGTTGATTCAAATGTTTCCCTTTCGTGGTCCACGTGGACTTTGGCAAGAGTCAGAAGTCACACGATACCGGATCCGGGGAACAGGGGGGTAAAGCCACATCCTCACAACTGTATGAGCCCGCCTTCCCCTTCTGTGGGCCTTGCAGGTAGAGTCACGTGCTCCTTATCAGACCTCATGCAAGACCCGCGTGGAAGAGAACTTCCAGAACTGCTGCGGCAAGAGTGATGGGTTAAGAAAGGGAGAGGATTCTGAGCAAGATTAATGGCAATGTGTCTCTTACTGTAGAAAAGCTTTTTATTTACATATTCACTTTGTTTAGAATGCTCCTTCTGTTACAGACGGAAACGTTCATGCATTCACAGACTTAATGTATCAATTTTCAGCTGTTTAATCAGCCTATTCAGCATACAGAGGCTTGCAAGTCCCTTCTGTGAGGGCCCCTGCAGGTTTTCCACCTTCCAAAAGAGATGTGATGCCGTTGCTAGCAGCCTTGCTTTTCACCAGTCCTCTCGCTTATATTCTGCATGCCTTTAAAATTAGAGATAGAGCTACACATTACATAAGGGAGAAACATCTACTGAAGAGGAAGAAAGGCTGCACTGGTGATTGGGACTTGAATTTGGAGGACGCACGCACACACACACTTACACACACACACACTCACACACACTCGCACACACACACACACACAATTCATTTTTCCTTCCATGGGAAAGAACTATTAAAACATAGAGGCAAGGCACACACTTTCCCGCCACTAAAACTTCACAACTAAAGAGCGGAGGGAGAAATGAGAGTATTGTTGGCTTGCTGGTTTGGTTCCTTTGGACAATTTTTTTTTTTTCAGAATGTACAACAAACACAGAAACAAAAAGCTTTCAGCAAAGCAATACATTTATTGCTGGTTACACAGGAAAATTACTGAGTATTTCACAGTGACGAATGGATGAAGGATCAATTATTATACAAAGAAACGAGAGAAAGATTGATGATCAGTGAAAGGAGAAAAATAAACAAACATAATCTCACAATTTCCTGTAGAGAAATATTTTCAGTGTTTAGTAAGTGTACAGATAAACCATTTAGAATACTAAATGAGACTCTCATAGCATGGTGTTGATAAAACCAAAAACAACTTTAAACTGCTTTAATTAGAAACAGAATAGAAATGGGGTGAGGGCAACAGAAAGAGGGGGACAGAATGGAAAGAGGGATCAATAACCTCAAAAGCAGAAGGTGACGTTCTCACCAGCTCTGGATTCTAAACCAGCTGCAAAAGAGACACAGGCATGAGATAGAAACAGCAGGGTCAGGTCAGCTGGGGGAAGATCCCAGACAGCCCGACGGACAGTTGTCTTAGAGGAGAACTTGCCTGTCTGTCTCAGAGTCCACGATGGTCTCAGCCAGGAAGAGCTGGGCTCCACTCTGTCACCAACACCTTGACAGGAGGCCGTGGAGCTCAGTCCAGATGTCAGGAGCCGAAGCACAGCCAGGAGGAGTCCACCGGCCCCAGTATGGCCAGCGTCTGACGGGAGAGAAGGTACCGAGCCCCCACTTCTCACCAGTAAGTGGGAAATTCCAGCAGAAGCAGTCAGAGATGCTCCAGCAGCCCCGTCTGAACACGACCAGTGAGCAGGAGTGATGACTGCTAAGGCAAAGCAGAGGGTTCCCTTCCCTCGGCACCGCGCTGACAGCCATGCCTGGGAACCGCCATGAGGAGTTAGTGCTGTGTCCCAAGTTCAGGGAACCGAAGACTGAATACCTGGTCACTCGTTATCGCAGACGTGCACAGGAGGGACCTGGGCCAGGCAGCCATCTCGGAGCCCTGTGTTTCTCCAGGGGCCCCAAAGCCCAGGTTTGTAGAGGAAGAGTGTGTGGGAAAGAGCCCCCACCCCAGTGTGTGGAGATAGCTTTCAAAATGTGGTCATGGATGGTGGGTGACTCAGTTTGTCCCTGGAGTCTTGCGAGCCTGGCTGAATGTGGTGCATTCAGCTTTCTTCATTGCCTTTCCTCCTTCCCATCCTCCCCATAGGCTACCCGCCTCCTTGGTAGCTGTGGACTTGAGATATCTCTAAGACCATCTTCCATTCAGCTCTTGGAGAGAAAATGACCGGGGCCCAGGGTCTAGGCCGACGGAGCCCCGAGGACTGACGGGCATCCTGGGTAGCACTTGTTCCTCAGAGCCGTGACAGGCCAGCAACACTGCTTCCCTTGCAGAAGCCACCCCGTGAGGATGGAGACCAGCAGGTGCCCGGGAGGCCCCAGGGAGCCATGCGTGCTCCAGGTCCTGTTGTGTCCACTGTCTCCCAACCCCAGTGGTCACCCTCGGCCAGCATGGGTGAGAGAACTGCGCAGATTAACTCTTCCTCTGACTAGGAAAGGGAGGAGAGAGGGGGCAGGCAGGCAGGGAATGCTGTTTTCTATTTCCTGGTGCCAACTGTCACTGAGTCTGGACTGACGTGCCACTGTTCCCTCCACGAGGTCAACAAACCCATTTCAAAGCTTCACTAAATGTATTTCAATTTTACAAGACATCATACTTAAAATGAAAGTGCTCCTCCCAAGTAAATGATAAATATGTTAAATATCCAGGAAAAATGTGGGAAGGAAAATCACTTTCATGACTTTTGCAAGACCACAGGGGGCCACGACAGTCACCCCCTGTACCACCCTGTGACTCGGATCACATCTCGCTGCTGTACAAAGCAACGAATGCTTATCTCTCCAGATGTCAAAGAGATCATAGAATATAGAAGGTGAATAATATGTGCTCTACGGATCATTATAAGAACACTTACACATAGAGGGGACTTAGAATGAGAAGTATTAGAAAGTGAAATTAAACCCCTCTTCTTGAATTTACCCAAAGGCACCAAAAAGAACAAAACAAAGCAAAACAAAACTTTTCCCTGTTGTCAAAAGCCCCAGCTGACAAGAAGCCCAGCTGAATAAAGCAAGAGAAGAGGTAGTTAGAAATATGAGTTGACATCAAAAGTCCTATGGAATTTCAAACTTAACTAGAGATCCTGACAAAAAAAGGATAGAAAATAAAATGAAATGGAACGTTTTACTCTTCCTTCTTTGTGACTTGAGTGAAATATCTCTTTAGGCTTCCACAGAGAGCAGGATCACAAAATTCATTCTTGAAGGACTCACCTAAAGTTAAAAAAAAAAAAGGTTTAAATATGTGATTAAAATTTTCCCTCTAATCAAGAAAGCTGTTGCAGGAGCAGGTAAATTGCATTCATGATTAAAGCTAGGGCACCAGAACAGTCATTATATGCAGCAGGAGATAGTGAAATAGGGCATAAAATCATCAGGACAATAATGGAAAAAACAAAGGATACTAAAGTAGAATTCGATATTACCTTAGTCCCATTTGGAATAACAGAAACCATTCTATGGTGGGTAAGTTTCCCCAAACTTTATGAGTACAATTTATTCTGGATCAATTGACATTTTACAGTCACACAATTGGCAGT